GTCGATGGTCCCTCCCCCGCCTCCCCCGGCCACATCCCGCTCCCCACGGCCGGGACGCCCCATCTTCCGATGGCCCCCTCCCCCCTTTTCCCACGCTTATTTTCCCGCCTCTCCGGGGGTTTCCGTGCAGCGCGCGGAGCTGGGGGGGAGGGAGCATTCCATGGGGGAGGCTGCAGCCGAAAATGCATCCCGGGGACTGCCGAGCAGCGTTCGCCTTGGAGCACCAGGCTTGCACTGCAGCGTGGCACTCGTAGTGCAGTGCAGCGCTTGCACTGCACCGTCGCACATGCATTGCAGTGCCAGGCTTGCACTGCACCGCCGCACTTGCATTGCAGTGCCAGGTTTGCACTGCACCGTCGCACTTGCATTGCAGTGCCAGGTTTGCACTGCACCGCCGCACTTGCATTGCAGTGCCAGGTTTGCACTGCACCGTCGCACTTGCATTGCAGCACTGGCTTTGCACCGCACCGTTGCATTTTGGCTGCAGCAGCAGGCTTGCATTGCACTGTTGCACTTGCATTGCAGCGCTGGGGTTGCACTGCACCGTTGCATTGCAGCACTGGGCTTGCACCACACTGTTGCATTGCGGTTGCAGCGGCAGGCTTGCACTGCAGCATTGCATTTGCATTGCAGTGCCTGCAACCTTGCATTTGCACTGCAGCACCAGGCTTGCACTGCACCATTGCATTTGCACTGCAGCGCTGGGTTTGCACTGCAGCATCGCGTTTCCATTGCAGCACCAGTTTTGCACTGTGGCACTGCATCGGTGTTGCAGCGCCAGGCCCGTGCCGCAGTGCCACACTCCCGACGCAGCGCACTGCCCGCCCTGCAGCGCCCACGCAGTGCCGTGCAGTGGCGCCTTGTGGTGCAGTGTTTGCGGTGCAGTTTTTGCAGTGTGGCACAGTGCAACATTTGCAGCGCAGCGTTGTGCAATGTTTGCAGCGCAGTGCTTGCAGTGCCATGCAGAGTGCAGTGCAGTGCAGTGCATTGCACCGTGTTGCAGTGTTTGCAGTGCAGTGCCACGTCTGCAGTGCAGTGTTTGCGGTGCGGTGCAGTGCAGCGTGTTGCGGTGTTTGCGGTGCCGCATGGTGCAATGTTTGCAGTGCAGTGCCATGTTTTGCAGTGCAGTGTTTGCAGTGTGGCATGGTGCAGTGTTTGCATGCAGTGCAGTGTTTGCAGCACAGCGCTGTGCGGTGTTTGCAGCACCACGCAGTGCTTACA